TAAAATAAGTAACACCTTTTAAGAAACACATTTCAAACCATATTGCCATTGTGCATTGAATTAATTCTCTGAAGACTAAAAGAACTCTGTTTGGAAAAGTCAATAAGTAGGTCTTTTATATGCAGTTGAGGTTTTATTTCCTTCTAAACGTTCCTTTCTATTTTTCCAAACAGAAAAGATGCATCTGCATCTTCTGGCACAAGGTTCCTAACAGAATTTGCAAGTTCAAAAAGATATTCTGTATTTTTTCCACTTGGACCAGCTGCATTAAATTTGTTCGGCAATGTCTTCCAGAGGTGCAGGACCAGATAATTAGGATTATCACATGTTCCAATATATAGCAACACACTGAATGGTTTTGTTGTGGGATCTTTTTGATAAAAAATGACCGTTGTGTCCTGTAGCTCCTTTCTCTCTGAAGTCAAGGAATGCTTTACTTCTTCTTCCTTCTCTACTGGCAATCTGTAAGCTACACCCCATACACACCTGTTGAAAATGAAAGAATACACTATTTAATATTTAGAAAGTTAATTAATAGGTGAATATATGTGGTGATATAGAAAATATCTCATATATTCTTAGAAGTCAATGCAGTTTTGCTTCACTTAGTGCACAGAAGAGGAACATACAACAATAAAGGAAATTAGTATTTTGAAATCGCCTTCTAAATAATTTCTTTTTGTATCATAAACAGCACAATATTTACCTTTAAAAAGTTATGTCATTTTTTTTTAACTAATGGGAATGAAATGAAAAATACCAGGTTTTCATTTGTCTTAAAAAGTTCTACATAAATAAATGTCATTTGTTTTATTAACTGTTTAATTAGGATTATAGTTACAGTTGAAGCTCCTTTTATAGATGCTTTTCATAGTGTAAATTATGAAGCATTTCCTAATCTATTACCATTGTTTATTACTAGCTGCTTGCTTTCATATATCAAAGTCCTTTCCAAAGTTAAATCCTTAATTTCACATTATAAATTTTGAATCTGTATCTCGATAAAATCATTGAAAATATTTAAGAAACTGAGGACAGTCACTGAAATAAAAGTTTTCTGGTGCTCCAAACCTATTTAAAACACACACACACACACACACACACACACACACACACACACACACACACAGGTGCTATTGATAAAATTAAGCCATAAAGAAAGTGAGAATTCCTGATTTAGATTTCTGCAGAAAATATTAGACTCTTAGCAAATGTTAAGAGTTCCATTTGATTCTTAGTGATAGTCTGGCTTTCTGGAGGCTATTTCCATTAATGTCAAAGGGAATCACAAAATTCTTAGTCAACAAAGTTGTTAAAAAACCTCACAAAAATGAGACCACATTGCCATTTAGTTGTATTTTGTTTTCTACCTTGCATTTTACATTCCAGCTTTTCCCACTGGCCTCATTATAAACAGAGAAACATGGAAAAAACTCACAAATACAGAGAAGAATTCTAGACCTAGTATAGATCAAATTGTCTATGATGACAGTTAACAAAATGCCATTGATTATTAAAACTGAGAAACATCTCAACATTTATATGATTCAAAGTTATACAAAAAAGAATAATTATACCATACCCCAGGATCTTCAACAAGAGTCACAACTCTTCCAGGCTGTTTTAAAAATAAAAAAAAAATTTCTGAATTAAATAAAGTTCATTAAGTAACCGAGCTTTAGCAAATTATTGTTGACATGGAATATTTTAACTACATTTGCTCATAAGAAGCACTTTTTTTAAAAGTACTAATTTTTTATGATAAAGTTTAAAATGAATTTAAGAGAATCTACCTTATCCAAACTATCTTGGCCTTTCTAAAAGATTTCTATCAATTTGTATATATTAGGTATATTAGTATGTTCACTTAAAATGGATATATTAAAAAACACACCAGTGACTAAGGTTTATCTAAAATGAAAGGCAAAGGGAAGCAGCAATTATAAATAAAAATTCTGGTTTTCCCCTTAGGAGAAAAGATTGTTGCAGTTTTATTAGGGGAAAAAATATGACATCCTGGGATACTTTCCTTTAGGGAAGTAGTTTTCCATCTTTAGTGCAGATCAAAATTACTTGGCTTGATAAACACATTGTTAGGCCACACCTCCAGAGTTTCCGATCCCATAAATCTGGAGCCCATAAATCTGGAGCTGTCTCAGTATTTGCATTTGTAACAACTTCCAGGTGGTTCCAGTGAAATTGTTTTGGAGCTCATACTTTAAGAACCATCGCTACCAGGGTATACTAAGAGGTCTCAAGAGTGAGAGAATGAGCAATTTACACTTCTGAGCTATGAAGTGCTCTTACCTCTTTCACATATGGCAGTGGGTGCTTCAAGATAGGCACCCCTTTTACATTCATAAATGAACTTTACATTGCCCTATTGAAAGGTTAATATTAGAGCTGGCCTATTCATATAGTTCTTCTGATATGGGACAGTTTGACCACGTGTGTTCTAGGCAATTTTATTTATTTATTTAATTTTATTTTTCCACTTTGGTTTTTGTTTTTTTTTAGAGATGGGGGTCTCAGTCTTGCTCAGGCTGGTTTCGAGCTCCTGAGCTCAAGCAATCCTACCTCAGCCTCCCAGAGTACTAGGATTACAAGCATGAGCCACTACACCTGGCCTCCACTTTGGTTTTTAACACAGGTCAGTTAACAGTTATATGGAAACAAGGCTGACTTTTATCATTCATCTTAAGATTCAAATGAGATATTATCAAGCCAAAACAAATTTTATTTGCTCTTCCATTTCAAAGACTGAAAAAACAATCTATGTTTGTAATAATTGAAAGCCTTAGAGAAAGTCTGGACTAGGAATATTCCATAATTTAAGTCACAAAGGTGACTTAAACCAATGACTGCAAGCTTTTCTTCAAAGAATTCCTACCTAGTGCCAAAGGCTATGTATCCACCAACAAATTAATATCAGTGAGAATGCTGAGTTGAAAGCCACAATTTTATCTATATGTATGCCCAATGTCTGGCACATAGTGAGCCTGAATCATTCAGATGTTTGTGTCATCTTTGCTGTTATTTCCTTCTAGTCTTTTCTGTTTGTATAGATAATTTGTAATCATGGAACACATGGGATTTTGCATTATGATTTCTCATTTAATTTTCCTGTTAGTCTTCTCATACATTTTAATAGTTACATCATATTGTATCATTGATGAACTGTAATTTAAACATTCCTATATTCTTGGACATTTAGGTTTCTGACCTGTGTTTTTGTTTTTTTTAAGACAAAGTCTTGCTCTGTTGCTGGAGCTAGAGTGCCATGATATCAGCCTAGCTCACAGCAACCTCAAACTCTTCGGCTCAAATGATCCTCCTGCCTCAGCCTTACAAGTAGCTGGGACTATAGGGGCGCACCACCATGGCTGGCTAATTTTTTCTGTTTTAGTTGGCCCGGCTAATTTCTTTCTATTTTTAGTAGAGATGGGGTCTTGCTATTGCTGAGGCTGGTCGCGAACTCTTGACCTTAAGCAGTCCTCCCACCTTGGCCTCCCTGAGTGATAGGATTATAGGCGTGAGCTACCAAGCCCAGCCACTTGTATTCTGTTTAAGATAATGTTACAATGAGAATACATATACTGGTGTGGGTCAAGTAGCTATTGCTATATTTCCGTTTCAAAGTGAATAAGGAGCTATTTATTGAATACCTACTCTGTGCTGTGGAGAAGATAAAACCTTGATTCATGCTTCCAAGAACTTATTTTGTAATTCTGGAATACAAACTAATGTGTAAAATAAGTAGAGAATACTTAAGGACTAAGATGTATTTATTGAATGCAGTAAGAATTCTGAGTCTTAGGTGATCAGAAAGATACCTATTCTGGCAAAAGGGCATCATGACTCATAATTCATGAGTCAGGGCCCACAGGCAGGACTGTACCAGGCCAAGTGTCTGACTTTTTCAGGGGGTCCCCCAAGTAGAGGAGATGATTCAGAAAGATGAGTGAAGAAATAGGATAGAGTCAGATTTGAAAAGCCAAAGAGCAGGGTTGAAATTAGGGGACAGTGGCAAAAAGAAGCCACTGAAATTTGAGAGAAATTGGAAATAAGGAATATTATAGCACTTGAGTAGCAGGTTGACTGGCATAACAAAAGAAGTGTTTTGGAAAAAGATTAGTTTGGTAAAGAGTGTGGTATGCAGGTTAGAGTGGAAGAAGGAAGATGCAGAATAAGAAATGTTAGTAGTCAGGTGACAAGTTTTGCACTCTACCTTTCCTTGCTTCTTCCCCTTACATCCAGCCCAGTCACCAATTCTTGGTAGTTCTGTCTTTTGAGTACCTTCTGAATCTGGTTCTTCATCCTTCAGTAGCTTCCTTAGGGATTTCCCTGCCTCTAGTTTTGCTTTCCTTCACTGTGTTTTCTACTTGGGACTGGAATGACCTTCTGGCACAAAAATTGGGCCACTCACTCACTTAGTGTTTTTCATGGTTGAGATATTCTACAGGATAAAGTCAAAATTCCTTAGCATTGCTTAAGTACAAACCTCATTTCTTTCCACTTTTCCCCTCAAGCTGTGCTGAATTATTTATAACTCCTTAAAACATTCATATCTTTGAATATACTGGTGCCTATTGTGGAATGCCCTTCACAATTTTATGTGCTTAGGATATCATCTGGCCACCTCCTCCATAAAGTCTTGGCTAATTCTCCATGTGGACTTTGCAGCTCCCTCTCTTAGACTCTTACTGCTCCTTTTATTAATTTTCCATGTCAAGTATTTTTGTTTGCATAGGTGTCTCCCACTTAAGTGCTCAGTAGTAATTACTGAAAGGAAGAAGAGGGGTAGTGAAGTCATGGAGATGGGTGGTGGCAGGTGGAAAAGAAAACAAGGAGTATGGAGGGAATCATTTTAAGGGGAAATAAATGGAATCTTGTGACTGTTCTAAATCATACAGACATGGACTATTGGCACTATGATAAATATACTTGGATGTCTTTTCTAGAACTTAAGCTCTTTGTACCTAAAATATATTCTTGAGAAACAATGTAAATTTGTAAATGAACATAAATGATTTTTTTTTTTTTTTTGCCATTGAAACTGAAGAAAGGGTCTTTCAAGCTGAATGGGATTGGGGGGGTGTTGTGAAATATGAGTCATGATGGATGTTTTCATTGGGTAATAAGTAATCTTTCTGATCTAGCTAGAAAAGTTAGGGATTTAGTAAATGTTTACGATCATCTCTTGCATTAAAACACTTCCTTTTCTTGAAATTGTAATATATTCTATTTGGCGTGTGAAAAATATTTCATATTTAAATTCTTATTTTGGTGAGAAACAGCTAGTTTTGTGATATATAAGGCTGGCAATCTATTTTAATAAAATATGTGAAGTAAAACGACAATGTTCTTTCCAGTTTCTTAAAAAACAGAACAGTATATATACTTAGAAAATGTTTAGTACTTAGATTTTACTTTAATTTACTAGGATGGATTCCTTAAATAAAAGTAGGTGTCAAACTGTTAGCCAGTGCAGTTTTTTCCCCCCTAACTTTACTTTTCTATATTTTAGTAAATTTAAGTATATAAGAGATACTGGCTTGGCCAGGCGCAGTGGCTCATGCTTGTAATCCTGGCACTCTGGGACGCCGAGGTGGGAGGATCGTTCAAGATCAGGAGTTTGAAACCAGCCTGAGCAAGAGCGAGACCCCTTCTCTACTAAAAATAGAAAGAAATTAATTGGCCAACTAAAAATATATAGAAAAAAATAAACTAGCCAGGCATGGTGGCGCATGTCTGTATTCCCAGCTCCTCGGGAGGCAGAAGGATTGCTTGAGCCCAGGAGTCTGAGGTTGCTGTGAGCTAGGCTGACGCCATGGCACTCTAGCCCTGCCAACAAGTAAGACTCTGTCTCCAAAAAAAAAAAGAGAGATACTGGCTTTTATAGCTCCCTTCTCCTTTTAAAGAATCATGGACTATTGTATTGACACTAGACAGTTTCCTCTCAGTCTTTTCTGATAGTGTACATATTTCAGTGTGCCATGTAACAATATACATTCTGGTTCAGACTAGAGTAGTAGAATCTGCTATTATAACCGCATACGTAAGTATTTAATAATTGGTCATTAAAACTGAAGTCTGGGCTAAAGGTTTTCTCTTCAGAATGGCAATTTTAAGTGTTCATTTCAAAATTGACATTCAAAGGCTCAAGCCTGTAATGCCAGCACTTTAGGAGCCTGAGGCAGGAGGATTGCATGAGGCCAGGAGTTAGTTCAAAACCAGCCTGGGACACATAGTGGGACCTTATCTCTACAAAATAAATAAATGTCTCTAAAAAAAAAAAAAAAACAACATTCAAAAGGCATTTTATTTAGTGTTGTTCTTTAATGTCTTGCATATTGTTTAATATGCTTATATATGTGATAACATCCTTGGAGGTACTTTGGCCACAACATTTTTTTGGTCTAATAATGTGCATTTGCCCTAAGCCACTCCCCCCTTTCCAAGTCATTCTGTCCAGTCCAGCATCCCAATAGGCCAGTCAGTACTGTCAACCTTAAAATTGACCAATTCTAATTGAAGTAAATTGGCATCAAACTCAGATTATTTTAAAGATTTCAATCCTATGTCTCTTTTATGAGCAGATGCAAACTACTTTAGAGCCTTGATCTCTTCCCCTTTCCATAACTGCAGGTATTTCTTTTGGAATTAATCCTAATTAACCCTAGCCTTTTAAATATTGTACTTTTGGACTAATTAATTTTTTTTTTTTTTTTTGAGACAGAGTCTTGCTTTGTTGCTCAGGCTAGAATGAGTACCGTGGGTGTCAGCCTAGCTCACAGCAACCTCAAACTCCTGGACTCAAGCAATCCTTCTGCCTCAGCCTTCCATGTAGCTGGGACTGCAGGCATGCGCCACCATGCCCGGCTAATTTTTTCTCTATATATTTTTAGTTGGCCAATTCATTTCTTTCTATTTATAGTAGAGACGGGGTCTCGCTCTTGCTCAGGCTGGTTTCGAACTCCTGACCTCGAGCAATCCACTCGTCTCGGCCTCCCAGAGTGCTAGGATCACAGGCGTGAGCCACCGCGCCCGGCCAGGACTAATTAATTTTTTTTAAAACAGTAATCAAGCTCATATAAATCTTCAGAGTATTTTAGAGACTATATAAGCAATAAAAATTTGTATAGTCTTCCAAAAGAGGTTAACCAAGTATCCAAGTTATCCAAATGATTAGTTACCCCAAACTTAGTTTTCTTTACCTATTTAGTTGTTTTGTAGCCAATACAAGGCTGATTTGCATAAGTAGTGTTACTAATTCTCTGTACACCTATATTGAGATGTTTTTGTATGACCGACTGAAAACTGGGTCAACGAACTTATATTTGACATTTATAATTGAGAATCATGGAGAAAGTAACATTAAAATAATGCTGGATATAGTAATGGGTTTGGTACTGTGTTACCCATATAATAAAACAGGGATTTCATTTAACTTTGCTTGTACCTGAAAGAGAGCTCCTTAGTAACCAGAGATAATTTTGGACACTAGGAGTTCTTAGGTGTCATAAAATAAGACCTTTTGAAGGATATAAAGAAACCCTAGAAACATGCACGTTTAAACGGAACCAATTAAAGTCTGCTAAAATGCAGAAATACCAACAAATTGCTAAAAAGCTGAATTTGCAAGTTGCTGTTAATATTTCAACTCGATGGTGTCACGAAAATTCATATTCCCGCCAATATTTTCTTTTGGCAGAGGCTGTAAAGAGATAGGGCCCCCTCCCAGGACGTCAGCCTCGTGCAAGCTTGTGTGCTTGTGCCTGGGCTTCTAGCCTCAAGAAACTAACCATCCGCATCTTAAGCAGCTTCGGAATATGCCCTGGTTTGGGACAGATATGGGGGCAGATGGGCGAGGAAGATGCATAGATAAGTTACCCCAGCCCATGTGCTCGTCCCCCAGGAGGCGTTGGGGTGTGAGTCTAGTGCAGCGGGCCGGGAATTGGGGAGCGGCGCTCCGGGGGCTATAAGTGTGGGGAGCTGGCCAGCGCCTCACCTTGCCAGGGACCCCGCGGTGGTCCGTGCTGCCCTGCCAGAAGCGCCTGCTGTAGTTTGTGATGTATCCGACCAGCTTGTCCTGATAGGGAAAGTCCACCTTCCAGATCAGGGACCCGTAACCAAAAACCCACATCTTTCCTTGCTCCGCTACGGTGGCCATGGACGCTCCGCTGTGGTCTCTGCAGAGCCCCTGGTGACTGCAGCCTCCCAGACGCGAGTAACCGGCTGCTTGGGGCGCAGGCGCGGAGGCTGCGCAGCACCTTGGGGCGCAAAGCGCCCTGGGATTGTAGTTTGAGGGAGGTTTTCCGACTTTGTCTCAGGCAGCATTATTTTATTTCCTTGATTAGTGGGTCAAAAGGCTTTGACCTTCTGTATAGTAACCAATAGATTCTCTCGAAGCTTCCGTAAATCGCCCTAACCTACCTCCAGTGCGCGTGTGCAGAGAACTACAATACCCACAATCCTTTTCAGAGACTGTGGCTCCAAAGTTGGAACTGTGGTTTTTTTTCCCTGACTCGGGCGAGGAAGGAGAAAGGGTCACAGTCCAGACTCGTGCGAAGTGATAGGGCAGAGATGTATCGGCGCTGCAGTTAGCATGTAGAAAGACACTTTGTTCAGCTTTGAAACTTGGATTTCTGCCCATAAGACAGCAGCCAGAGAAGCCCAAGCCAGGAATGTAATCCATATTTGACTTTCTGTACTTCTAAAAAATCTGCCTTTCATAAAAGCAGAAAATTTGCAATAGAAGTTTGACGCCTGTGAAAGAGCAGCTATTATTTCAACGGAAATTGTTTACATATTTAAATTTTACACGGGAAACCTTATTTATCTTTAACATTCTAGGGAAAGGTTCTTGGAGTTCATGTATAGGCTTGAAAACCAGCCGGGGAACTTGCTGAAACTCTATAAAATTTGGGGTATGTGTGCATTTTTCTGGGGAGAAACGTCATAGCTTTCATGAGTTTTATAGTTTCTCCAGGGGTCAAAGATCCTGAGAAATGTTAAAATCTGCTTGTTAGAGCTATTCTTCCAAAATATTCTTTAGGAAGCTCATTTGGACTGTCATGACTGTGCCTGTGTATGTGAAAACAGAAGCCTTACCAAAATTATTGTTCCTTCTTGAGGATTTCATGGTCTTTAGCTTTATAAGAGAGGAATACTAAAACACACATGTTCAAAGAGTATTACTTGTGCTCTTAAGCAGAAATAGGAAGCTGCTACAAAGAAAAACTTATCTTAAGAATAACCAGGTCTTTTCATATTTTCTCCAGATTGTAGTTTTATATTGCCTGATATGGTTACTACCCCACTCCCCCTTTTGAAAAATTTCAAACATACAGAAAAGTTAGAAGAAAAGAGTGTAATGACCATTTGTATACCTTTCATCTAGATTCAGTAATTAGCATTTTGTCACATTTGCTTTACTTCTTTTTCTCATAAATATATTTTAATCTTTAACATTTGAAGTAAGTTGTATGCGTTATGACATTTTACTTCTAAATACTTATACATGTGTCTTAATGACATTATAGTAACCACAGTGTCATTGCATCTGAGAAAATTAACAATAATTACATTACCAAATGTCTACTACATATCCAACCTGCTTAATAGTGTCTCTATGTCTAATATGTCTAATTATCTTTGTGAGAGAGTCACACATGAGATCTGTAGTGGACTCTGCACTGGAATTTAAAATGAGCTTTGAAGGGAGATGATAATGATGATGAAGGTAGTAATGCTGTGAAGAACTTTCTGGGCTTCTGTAGGAAAGCTGGACTGTCTTTATGGTGTTCTTTGTTGGTTTTGATATATTTAGCCAGTGGAACTATTTCATCAAGCATAGAGAACCTGAGTATTTAGCCCCTTCTGGAAAGGAATGTCAGGTGCAGAAAAACTAGAATGACTACTTATCTTTGTTCTTCTCAATAAATGTCCTTTATTCCTTTTCTAGCCTTTTTGGGTTTAGTTGTTTCCTATAGAGGGCTATGTATTGAGGCTGAGCATTGATTGTAGTTAAATGGCCATCTCTGCATAATAGAGCGTATATTAGAGATTAACTGGAAGCCTTCAGCTCTCAACAGAGCACCAAAGAGTGCATTTTGGTGGGGTATGAACAAGAGCAGAAGCCTACTAGAAAGAACTGCTCAGATGTTTCCAGAGGAGGAGGGAGAACACTTAAAAATCCTTTGATATTTTCAATAAGAACATTCCAAGGAATCCTGATTTGCCAAACAGAGTTCCTGCTTTAGGCTCCAGCAGAGGGTATGGCATCTACTGTGGCCTCTTCCTTAGCACTCGTGTGAGAGATGTTAGACAGGCCCACTATAATCTGCTAATCTCCAGGAGTACAGAGTTGTTTTATTGACTACAATATTATCTTTCTACCTTGTTTTGTAGACTAGTCAAAAGAATGGATTTTACAGAGGCCTACTCGGACACATGCTCTACAGTTGGACTTGCCGCCAGGGAAGGCAATGTTAAAGTCTTAAGGAAACTGCTCAGAAAGGGCCGTAGTATTGATGTTGCTGATAACAGGGGATGGATGCCAATTCATGAAGCAGCTTATCACAACTCTATAGAATGTTTGCGGATGTTAATTCATGCAGGTAAGGTAAATTCAAGGTATGGGAGGCTATACCTACAAACTGGCATAATAAAACAAAATTATGGTAATACATGACTTATTAACACTAGTAATTTGTTTCCCTTCCTATGATCATAAAATAACTGCCCAAACTTATTTATTAAGGATAGTAAGATTGCCTGCCTTGGATTTTATCAGTATGGTGTTCCCTCTGGACATCTGTAAGTGTTGTTCTTTATATGGGAGTGCTTATGCTTAGCTTCTTTTTATTGACTGAGCTAGGTGATGTGGCAAAAGTAATCTGCTGTTTGAATTAAAGCATTTGGTATTTACTGGTCATGTTTATTCTTTCCTCCTTTTCTAAACAAAAGGAACGGCGTTACTGAAATTGAGGATATGAGTGTTTTGTTTAAATAAATCTTTTTTTTTTTTTAAAGAGACAGGGTTTTGCTCTGTTGACCAAGACAAGAATACAGTGGCACAATCATAGCTCATTGCAGCCTCATACTCCCGGGCCCAGGCAATCTTCCCACCTCAGCCTCCTAAGTAGCTGGGACTATAGGTGTGTGCCACTACACCTGGCTAATTTTTAAAAAAAATTTTGTAGAGACAGAGGTCTCATTATGTTGCCCAGGCTGTTGTTGAACTCTTGGGCTCAAGTGATCCTCCCACCTTGGCATCCCGAAGTATAAAGGCTTAAGATAGGTTTTCAGAATCTGTTTGAAATTAACTATAATACTTGAGTTCTCAAATTATCTCTAGTGACAACGGCATGAATTTAAATATTCTTTTCTAATCAAAAAGATTATTCCTAATATACTTACCTCTCTTCCCCACATCAGAATAGTGTTATGTTACAGATTATTTTTTTTCATTTAGCTGCTGAGTAAACTTGAGCGAGCATGCTTTTGACTAAAGGCATTTGAACTGGCTTTTCAGGTTCATCTATACAGTTGTCCTTTGGAATACGTAGGGAAATGGTTCCAGAACCCCTGTGGATACCAAAATCTGGATACCAAAATGTTCAAGTCCCTCAGTCTGCCCTGTGGATAGGAAAGGGTCATTTATGCATTGTATTCATTGATACTGAAAGTCGGCCCTCTGTATCTGCAGGTTCTGCATCCTGCAAACGCTGTGTTTTCCATCCCTGTTGGTTGAATCCTCAGTTACAGAACTTGTGGATACACAGGGCTGACTGTATGTTCTTTTAGAAATTTTAAATATCAACTTCATCATTAATGGCCATCCTTTTTTGAGCTTGATGTTTTTGGAGGATAAGATAGCACATAAGTTAGCTATGTGATTAGTTGATATAAATGGCCAAATAAAATTTTCTCACTACATTATGAAGTAAGCTCAATAAATCTAATTTATGTATAGTGCATACATAAGGATTAGAGTAGGGGTAGGAAAATAGGAAGTAGGGTTTGCAGAGGCTGAAGAAGAAGCCACATGAATTATTTTAGGATATGGTGACATATTGAGGCTTAGTCTTTTGAGAGTTTGGTTGTTCTCTATAGCATTTTTAAAGTTGGAACTAATGTCCAAAATTCCATCAGATTTGCTTATCTGATTCACTAACCAGAAAAATCAGATTAGAATGAGGGGGCAGTGCTGTATAGCCTATTGGTTGCTTTAAAAAATGTTTTATGTATGCTCTTGGCATATCCTCCCTTTTGTAAATTAGCTAAAGTCTATACTTTATTCAGATACCCTGCATTTTTAAAAAGTTTGTAATTTAGACTTTTCTGGATGATTCAAGTTCTGGAACATTAAGCAGTGAGGAGTGACAGTTGAATACTTTCTATAAAAGGTCTAGCTAGCATAAAGCTACATATGAGGAAGTATTTTTAAATGGTGGTGAAGTACAAACATTCTAGTCTTGATGAGTGAAGCAAGGGCTCTTCTGCTTAATGATAAGAGCAGCGTCCTTATGTCTGTATCAGTTAATTTGATATTGTGGGTTAATCTTAAAATTTCCAAAGCAAGTTTGACATTTCTGTTTGTCTTTATCCTTGCCCTATCTGTGTTTTATATGATTCATACTTCTCTTGCCCCTTGTGGCTCAACTGGTATATATAAAAGTGTCTTTTGTTATATAATTTCTATCTCCCTGAACTTCATCTAATATTAGTGAACTGTCAGAAATTCCTAAAACATAATTAGTGCCCTAGATTTTGAAGGTACATAGGCCTACACAAAAAGAATGGAAGCATCCAAATTGGTTGGGAGGGCTTTGCTTTACTTTCTCTTTAATATAGATCCATGCCATTCACTATTAATCCATTTGCTGACTAAAAGTCACTTAAAATCTTATAATTAATTAGAGCATATAGCTAACAAATACTTTTATTTGGAAAATGAATAATCTAGCTCATAGTGCTTTTTATTAGTTCATGTTAAATAAAAATATATGCTGTAATACTGGGCACAGTAACAGATGCTGAAGGTCCTTGTAGAAATAAGGCAGGGTAGAATAGTGATTAAGAGTTATGGTCAGATGGACATGGGTTCTATTAATAGAAGCCACCACTTTATTGGTGTGACTTTGGACAGGTCTTTGAACCTCTCAGTGGTTTAGTTTCTTCATCTGTAAGTTAGAAATATTCCATTGTATCAGCTCAGGCCAGAAACTCTGGGCTATCTTTAATTCCTTCCTTTTTCTCATATTCCTCTTCCAATCAGTCAGCAAATCCTTATTCGTATGTATGTATCTGTGTGTATGTATGCACACATACGCACACAGAAGCAGATCACTTCTCACTACCATTAATACCTTTGAGCCACATCGTCTCTTGCCTGGATTGCTGCAATAGTGAGTGTTCTGTTTTTCCCCTTGTTCCCTCCCCATCCCATGACAGGCCACTCTCAATATATCAGAGGGATCCTTTTTTTTTTTTTTTGAGACAGAGTCTCACTTTGTTGCCCAGGCTAGAGTGAGTGCCGTGGCATCAGCCTAGCTCACAGCAACCTCAAACTCCTGGGCTCGAGTGATCCTTCTGCCTCAGCCTCCCGGGTAGCTGGGACTACAGGCATGCGCCACCATGCCCGGCTAATTTTATATATATATATTATTTGGCCAATTAATTTCTTTCTATTTATAGTAGAGACGGGGTCTCGCTCTTGCTCAGGCTGGTTTTGAACTCCTGACCTTGAGCAATCCGCCCGCCTCGGCCTCCCAAGAGCTAGGATTACAGGCGTGAGCCACAGCGCCCGGCCTTGGAGGGATCCTTTTAAAATATGTCAGTCTGTGTCTCTCTTCTGCTCAAAACTTTGTAATAGCTCATTTCTTTCCAAGTGAGAGCACTACTGTATAGTATTTCATAGTATAGATATAATGTAATTTATTTAACCATTCTTCTATTGATGGACATTGTGTTTGTTTCCTAAAGGTTTGCTAATATAAATAGTGCTTCAGTGAACATCCTTATACATATATCTTTGTGCACACAGTTGAGCATTTCTGTAGGATAGATTTTTTTAGAAGTGAAATTGCTAGTTCAATAAATTAGAGTTCTTTAGAGAAATAGAACCAATTGGAGATATATATATACATATATATATGTATATGTATATATATCCCCTCATATATGAGGGTATATACTAGGGACGGACATTGGCTTATGTGATTGTAGAAGCCGAGAGGTCCCATTATATGCCATCTGAAAGATGGAGAACCAGGGAAGCTGGTAGTTTAATTCAGTCTGAGTCTGAAGGCCTGAGAAGTGATAGTATAACTAACTCTCAGTCTGAGGCCAAAGCCCTGAGAACTACGGAGCAGGGGGACACTGGTATAAGTCCAGATTTTGAAGGTCTGGAAACCAGGAGCTCCAGTGTCCAAGGGCAGGAGAAGATGGACATCCTGGCTCAAGAAGAGAGCACGAGTTCTCCCTCTGCCTTTTTGTTCTGTTGGGCTCTCAATGGATTGGATGATGCCTGTACACATTGGTGAGGGTGGATACTTTTTACTCAGTGTACTGGTTCAGATGTTAATCTCTTCCAGAATTATCTCAACAGACACAGAAATAATATCTTAGTGGCTATCTGGGCATTCCTCAACCCAGTCAGGTTAACACACAATAAATCCATCACATGTGCCAAGTTAAAATATTGACAGATACTACTAAATTGTATGCTATGTTAATTAATTAGGACTCTTTCAGTATTGAGCTAGTTCAAACTAGCTTAAACAAAGAAAAGGAATATAGTAGCTCATGTAAACCCTAAGGCTGAGTGGTAGGTTTGTTTAGGCATTGCTAGACTTCAGTGTTCAAAACGATGTCTTCAGAACTCTAGGTCTCCCTTTCTCTCAGCTCTTCTTTGCCCTGTGTTGATTTTATTCTCAGGCAGGATTTCTCTTTGGATGTTCTAGACTTACTTTATCTTTAAAGAGCTTCTTAGGAATTCTGGGCTGGGCATGGTGGCACATGCCTGCAGTAGTCCCAGCTACTCAGGAGGCTGAGGCAGAAGGATTGCTTGAGCCCAGGAGTTTGAGGTTGCTCTGAGCTAGTCTGATGCCACGGCACTGTAGCCTGGGCAACTGAGCGAGATTCTGTCTCTAGATAGATAGATAGATAAGCAAGCAAGCTTCTTATGTTTTCTGGATGTTAACCCTTCACTGTTATATGTGTTTCAGATATTTTACATATTTCTCCTGTCTTTTACTTTTCACATGGTGTCTAATTTCTTTTGATGCCTCTAAACGTCTTCCTTTCTACTGACTTCTCTGCATCTTGTATGCATGGAGTCTCTCCGAAGAGTTGTCTGAGCATTTTGCATAAAGTAAAATTCCTTGTGTTGTGGAAATTATTATTATTATTTTTTTTTTAAAGTATGGCCTAGGGTGGAAGGAAATTATTTTATATCTAACTTTTTCTTAGAATTTGTAAGTAAAACATAAGATGATATAAGTTATGTAAAGGGTTTGACTATATAATCTACCTGACATTGACATTTATCACCCTTGTGATTGACATATACTCAATTTGTGTGGCTCATCAAATTCTGGCTCAACTATTGAGA